CCAGGTTTGGCATATGATGACCACTTTATTTCCAGGAAAGCCAAAACTCACCACTGGCTGCCACCTCTGAGAGCCATGAGCAAGATACAGATGGAAGGAGAACGATGGCCCCGGCTGCCCTCCTGGAAGTCCAGGTAGTAGCTAGGTTATTGCTCTTTTAATTTAATCTTTTGTCTGCCCTGGTGAAGACAAAGCGCATTTCACTTTATGCAAAAGCCCTTCCTCAGTGGAAAGGTCAAGAGAAAGCCCCTTAATGGAGAAATTGCTGCGCTTGATCATTTTGCCTCCAGCTGAGAAATTGATTAACAACCTGGGAGTCTCCAAGGAGGCTCTTCGCAGTCACGGTGGCCATTTCCAAGCAGAGGGGAAAGGAGAGAGTGTGGGAGTTGAATGGGAGGAGAGTGATCTCAAAGAGCCTCCTTTGCGAAGTGGAGAGGTGGGGGAGCACCCGAAGGAGAAATGCCAGTACATATAATTATTCCCATGCAGATCATCTTTCTCTATGTTCTGAGCCCATTGTTAATGCATGCCTCCGAGCCCCGGCTCTACCTGCATGCCCACCACAACACAGAAGGTGCCCAGGGAGGGGGAACCAATGCTAGATCTAAGCCTGTGCCTGGCCAGTGCAGTAGGCACTAGCCTGTGTGCGTGTGACCGTGAGCACTGAGGCGTGGCTGGTCTGAGCGGAGATGATCTGTGAGTGTAAAATGCACACCAAGTCTGAACACTGAGTATGGAAAGAAAATGCAACATATCTCATTAGCCATTTTATGTTGACTATTTTGAAATGATATTTTGAATATACTGAGTTAAATAAGCTATGAAAATTAATTTCACTTATTTTGCTTTACTTTTAATGTGGCTGCTAGAACGTAACATTTAAAATTACATATGCAGCACTCATTTCTGGCTCACAGTATAGCTCTGTGGGACAGAGCTGGTCCCATATTGAACAGTGATGGTCCAAACAATGTACCAGCACATGCTTTTTAAATTCCACTAAAAAGGAGGGACAAATATAAATGGCTTCCAGATTAGTACCTATTTTACATTAACTGTGATAGAGTTTCACTTTATTAAGCTGGAGAAGAGTTGTAAGATATGACGTTTTAAAGGAGTTGAGGCTTCAGAATGCATCCTAGAGCTACTTTTAAAAATCCGTTATTCAACTCAGTCTGAGTTTCGACTCAGACTCGAAAACTCCAAGAGCAGGGCTTAAAAATTTTGGGAGATGGTATCGCAAACCAGCAGTTCTCAAACCTGGGCATGCATTAGATTCCCTGGGGGCTTTATAGTCCGGATGCCCAGACCATGTCCAAGTCCAACCACGTCAGACTTTCACAGGGTGGGACCCAGACATCCGTGTTCTTTAAAGTTCCCCCAGTGGCTTCAATTTAGAGCCAAGGTTGAGAAGCACAGATTTGGTCAGTAGCAAATTAACCCGCCTCCCGTCTACTTTTGCGAAGCAAAAGAGGTCGTTTGCTTCACCTTAGTACCCCCAAGCACGCAGAATAAAACGTCTAAGCACAGAGGCCATCGTATGTTATATCCTAAACTGTTACTACCTTTTTCTAACCTGAGAAAGTTTTCTTCCAGATTCTGTTCAGTGCTCCTGCAGGCTGGCAGTTGACTTTCTGCACAGCTGTTAGTTGCAGCACAGGTGTTAAGTATTTCACTAACAGTTTCTGCTGCGACTCTGAGTAGCCCCTCCCCAAACAACTCCTCAGCTCGCTGCAGAAGCCACAAGTCCTGCAGCTGCTCTCAGAACGCTCTTGATGGCACTACGTTTTTTTTAAAGGGAGCAACACCTGCTGCGGTTGCTTCCCACCTGGGCAGCTCCCCTTCCTCTGAAAGGGTGATTATCTGATGTCTGAGGTGTTTTAAAAGGGCCCATGATCTTATTCCGTCTGCATCATTTGGAGAGATACATTTAAAATGGAGATTTAAAAACAAATATAGATTTGTCTTCACTACTGAAATTCTTTCCACTTTGCCCCCTCTGAATCTTATACAAACTTTACGGTAATTGTCATGTCGAATGTTAATGATTTAATGTATGCTTCTGTCAGAGATCAGAGCACAATACCCCAAAATACGGCGACTCGGCAACTGAAGTAACCTCAGAAAGAAGGCCACTCTGACCTTCTCCCGTGAAGCATGATCTTAAAGGAATTATCTGACCTACCACCCCTAAAAGTAGGTCATGAGACCCTGATTCCAGAGAGATTCCACACCCTGCAACCAGAGACCAAGAAGAATCTGAGCAAACAGAGCCTTGCTAAATTCCCCTGTTGATTACCTTTAGGTCATACTCCTTTTTGTCCAGTTATGATTCTACCTCAAACCTCAGCATAAAAATACAGTTTTCCTGTAATCCCAGCACTTTGGGAGGCCGAGGCAGGTGGATCACAAGATCAAGAGATCGAGACCATCCTGGTCAATATGGTGAAACCCCGTCTCTACTAAAAATACAAAAAATTAGCTGGGTATGGTGGCGCATGCCTGTAGTCCCAGCTACTAGGGAGGCTGAGGCAGAAGAATTGCTTGAACCCAGGAGGTGGAGGTTGCAGTGAGCCGAGATCGCGCCATTGCACTCCAGCCTGGGTAACGAGAGAAACACCGTCTCAAAAAAAAAAAAAAAAAAAAATACCGTTTTCCCTAGGGGTCTTTGAGTCCTCATTTCTGAAGCCTCCCGTGTCATGTAAAACTTTGGTGAAATAAATGTGTTACACTTTTCTCTTGTTAATCTGTCTTTTGTTATAGGAGTGTCAACTGTAAACCTTTTGACAAGTGAGGAGAAGCTATTCCTTCTTCCCCACGCATGGATGTCTCCCATTCAGATGATAAACTTCCTAAGGTCAGTGTGTCCTACACAGGTCTGTTTCCAAAGTATTTAATAGAATGCCTGGCACATAGATAGCTCTTCGTAAATGTTGACATGAACTTAATATGTAAGCGAGCTGCTATACTCTGGGTTTCTGACCTTATCTGCCTCCGGAATCGCTGGTCATCAGTAAGCTAAAGTGGCCATAGGGCAGAGTTCTGGCCGCTGAGATGTAGCAGAAGTCCTCTGGGTAGGGCTTCCAGGAGAGTTTTTGTTTTCCTGCCAAAAAAGGGACAGATCGGGCCTGTCCACACTCTACTCTGTATCCCTCCCTGCCTGCTTCTTCCTTCTTTCTGCATGGAACTCAGAGTTCAAGCCTGGAGGTGCAGCAGCCATCTTGCAATCATGAGGTGAGGAAAAGAGGCTAGTGCCGACAAGCCAGCTATGCATAGAAAAGTAGAAACGTAGGAGGGGCCCCGGCTCCCGAGGGCAGCCGCTGCACCAGGGCTGAGCTTCCTGCCTGCCTGCCTCTGGACTTCTCAGAGAAGAAAAACGTTCCCATGGCCACCACCATGGTTAAGTTTTGTTATCTGCAGACAAACACGTTCCTAACCAGTATGAGACGTCTGTTATTAAGAAGTATGCATTTCAAGCACCTACTATTGCTCTTAACGCATAGTAGACACCCATTAAATGTTTGCATACTCATTCATTTATTCATGCAAATATTAACATGAATGAATTCCGAGTGAGTCAACGAATAAACGGGTGATTTTCTTTTTTTACACAGAAGGATCATCTTCTAATAAAAACGGACTATTCCCTTACTTTAAGTTGTATCCAGTCATTCCATAATAGCTTTGCATCAGAGTCTGTAGACTATATATATGCGTCCTGGTATTCCCAAGGCTCATTTCTTCCTTTTAAAAAAAGTAGTCCAATTGAAGCTGCAAATCATGCAGCAAACAGGAGAAACAGCCTCCTGGTGTTCTGTTCCCCGAGTGTTATATTTCAAGGATTCTCTGCAAAGCAGGGTTGGCAGGAGTATTTCCTGCTCCAAGGTTAGTTGGGTGGGATTCGCTTTTTGTTTTTTTGTTTTTTGTTTTTTTGTTTTTTTCCTTTCTCTCCAACCCGGGCTGCTCAGCTGCAGGGTGTGCACAGTGCACGTTAGTGGGCGGAGCCAGGAGCTGAGGCGTCCATGCCCAACGACCAACTAAGAGGCTTCACCTGAGGATTGGTGGTTACAGTTGCCCCACTGGTAGCTACATTAAGAAAACTGATTAAGAAGGGAGAGAAGAGGTATCCGCTGTCTCAGACCAAACCATGAGGCAATTCCCCAGGACCCAATCTCCTGCTCTACAACCTAGAATTCTGGAGACTCTTTATTTTTATTTTTTTTATTTTTAGAGACAGGGTCTTGCTCTATTGCCCAGGCTGGAGTGTAGTGGTGTAATCATAGCTCACTGCAGTCTCAAACTCCTGGGCTCAAGCAATCCCTCCACCTCAGCCTCCCAAGTAGCTAGAATTACAGGCATGCACCACCATGCCCAGCTTTTTTTTTTAATTTTTTGTAGTGATGAGGTCTTGCTATGTTGCCCAGGCTGGTCTCAAGCTCCTGGGCTCAAGCCGTCCTCCCGTCTTGGGATTACAGGCATGAGCCGCCGCATCTGGCCTCTGTTTTAATTTTTTAAACTTGACTCTAAACAGCTTGACTTCATCTCTTGAGAAAGGTATGTAAATGCTTGGATTTGGGATGTACTTTTTATGCTTTAAAATACTAGAGTTGGTTTTTTGTCAGCTTAGAGTTTTAAACTATTGAGCAGTTTGACATGGCAGGCACTGTGCTCAGTGGTTTTACCTGCGTTGTTGACATCATACTCACAGCTTCTCTACTGTGGTGGGTGCTCGTATCTTCCTGGTTTATAGACAAAGAAACTGAAGCTTGCAGAGATAACCAATTTGTCCTAGATCACACAGAGCCACACATCCACTCGAGAATGTCTGGTCCCAGAGCCCCTTCATTCATTCCAACCATCCCACATACACTGTGTTTGGAAGTGGACAGGATATTCCCCTGAGGGCCATGGCCCAAACCCACCCTGCCAAGACTCAGGACGGCAGGCTCCTATGTCTAAGCCAACACGGACAAGCACCTCTTCCATCTAAGGACACTTACGCTGAGGGGAATGTTTTGGCCTGTGTCTTCCGGATCGAAGGCCTCAACCTGGTAAATGAATCCAGGGTTTGCTCCTTCTACTATGTAGAGTTGCAGACCTGTATCAGTGTCCAAAGTGGAATAAGAAACATCTTATTAGGTAAAGCAAAAATGGGGAATTCCAAAATCAGAGCAGCTGCACGTAACCAAAGGAACCAAGTGTGTTGGCATCGTGGGACAAAGGACACAATTTAAAAAGCCATGAGCAAGGCCACTGGCCAACTCTCCTGAGTGGGTCCATTTAGGGGAATTCAGAAAGTACTAGGGTTGGCCAAGCTGTTATCAAGTCTTCATTCATGTCCTCTGTTGAGAGGTGCCCCAGGGTAATGCGGTTTAAGATGGGGGAAGGAGGAGGTGATAGGGCAGAGAGTTGGGAAGTAAGCCCAGCTGGGAACCTGCAGCATGAGGATCCCCACGTGCACGGATCCACTTTAATGCGCAAATCCCTCCTCAACTGTGCTAAGCTACCCCTTCAAGGACACTTGGCAACTCCGCAGAAATGAGCTACTGAAATGAGGGACCTTACAGCAGAACAGAGAAGAAATAGAATAATTAGGGGAGGGCTACGGAGGCCGAAGGGAGGAACCAAAAATTGATTTCATCTGTTGCAGAGTTTTTCCTGGTGAAGGAGGAGGATGGAGGAGGGGGCGATACCAGCACTGACCAAGGGGCCGTGGAGCTTTCACCCAGCATTTTTTTTTTTCTGAGTGATGACTGACAATAAGAAAAGTAACAGGCAGGGCACAGTGGGCATGACACACCTGTAATCCCAGCACTTTAGGAGGCCGAGGCAGGCGATCACAAGGTCAGGAGTTCAAGACCAGTCTGGCCAACATATTGAAACCCCATCTCTACTAAAAACTACAACAGAATTAGCCGGGCACCGTGGCAGGCGCCTGTAATCCCAGTTACTTGGGAACCTGAGGCAGGAGAATCTCTTGAACCGGGGAGGCAGACATTGCAGTGAGCTGAGATAATGCCATTACACTCCAGTCTGGGGCCAGTGAGACGCCATCTCAAAAAGAAAAGAAAAGTAACTCACTCTTTTGGGGGCACCATGCTGAGGATGTAATATACATTTTCTATTTTCATCTTCATAACAGTTCTATTAATAGAAAGCAGGCATTGTATTTATTCTTTTAATGTAATTAGTGCTTTTGCAATGAGAACTCTGAGACTCAGGGAAGTGATGAAGTTGTCCTAACTAGTAAGTGATATAATCAAAATTCAAATCCAGATGCCTTACATCTGAGCTTCAGGTTTGATTCACTTTTTATCACTCTCATGCTTCATTCAAAAAAATATCTCTTGAGCACTATGTCAAACACTGATCCATACACTGGGAATACAGCAGCTCGCAAAACAGAACCTCACTCTCATGCAACTTCCATTTCCGTGGAAAGATGTGGATAGCAACATAATTGAGTAAAACCTGGGTATACTTGTGAGAAACATGATGAGAACAATCGAGGGAGGAAGTGCGAGTTGGGTTATAATTTTAATAAAGTGGCTATGGAAGGTTCACTGTGGTGGGGAAGGGCAGGACACTTGTCAAGATTTTTTTTTTTTTTTTTTTTTTTAGATAGGATCTCGCTTTGTCAACCAGGTTGGAGTGCAGTGGGAGAAACCCAGCTCACTGCAGCCTCAGCCTTCCAGGTTCAAGTGATCCTCCCTTCTCTCCCCCTGAATAGTTGGAACTACAGGTGCCTGCCACCACACATGGCTAATTTTTGTATTTTTTGTAGAGATGGGGTTTCGCCATGCTGCCCAGGCTAGTCTTAAACTCCTGATCTTCTTAAGCAATACTCCCACCTTGGCCTCCCAAAGTGCTGTGATTACCTGTGATTACAGGTACGAGCCACTGCACCTGATCTTAAAGAAATGAGGAAGAGCCAGGAGATAGGACGGGATGCAGAGGAATCAACAAAAGCAAAATGCTGATGTAGGGCATGCCTGAGGTGCACAGATCAGTAAGGGGTCCAGAGGCTGGGTCAGAGGGACTGAGCGGGAAAGCGGGAAAGGAGGGGTGAGAGGGTAAGGAATGTAAGCCGCTTGATAGATTTAATGGGCTGTTAAGGAGACTCCCTCTGAGTGAGATGGGAAGTTCTTGCAGGGTTTTAAGCAGAGGAGTGCCTTAACTGACGTTTTTAATACGATCCCTCTGGCTGCTGTTTGGAAAACAGACGGCAGGGGGGCCAGAAGGCCAGCTGCCAGCCATTGCAACAATCCAGGTGAGATGGGGTGAGTGGTTTGGACCATGGCTGTAGTGGTGCAGACACTGGGGAGGGGCCGGGTTCTGGGTAGATTTAGAAGCTGGCAAGATTTCCTAAGGGATTGCACGTCAAGTGTAAAAGAGAGGAGTCAAGGATGACTCAAGGTTTGGTCCAAGCAGCAAGAACGGTGGAGTTGCTGCTAACCAAAACGAAAACGACACGGGAGAAGCAGATTCGAGTGGGCGCGGAGGGCGGAGAGGAAGCCAGCGGTTTGATTCAGAAGCAAGTTAATTTGCGATGTCTGTTAAACATCCACGTGTTAAACATCCACGTGGAGATGCTGGGTGGGAAAGGTGCCTCTCTGTGTTAGGACTGCCACAGCTCAGGGCAGCACCTGGGCTGAAATGACAGGCTTGAAAGTGGTCAGTATCAGGATGGTGCTCAAAACCAAGAGCTTGGGGGAGATCCTGTAAGACGTTAGTTACCGTGTGCTCTGGTCCTTTCCATTATCCCTATTCTGTAGCAAACACATACTGCCTTCAAGGAGTCAGAGTCCATGGGGAGAGTGAACAAGCCACCAATGGCCGCAGTGCACAGGAGTGGCCTGGGGTGGCTCAGCCAGATTCCTCCATAGTGATCCCCTTGAGGTCCCGAGCTCTAGTTTCCTCCCAGGGCCTGGGCAGGGACCAAGAGAAACCATGCCTGTTGAGGGCTCTGCATACTGCTGGATATTATTACTGGGAGTGTTGAGCTGGAGGACATTTCATTTATTCCCTGCTCATTAAGCCTCTGCCTTTTCCAGGGAAACAGCTGCTTGTTTATTTACTTTTTCTGTTTCTCTCTGTCCCCCCAGGGCCCTCCCTGATGCCACCGTCTGGGCTGCCGTGCACATCCTACCTTCTGCCAAGTTGCCTTGAAACTGAGGCGGCTCGTTCACATCTGTTACCTGAACAGTCAGGACTTGCAGGTCTGTGACACCAACCTCATCCCTCACATAAATCTGCAAATCAAATATGTTTGGTCCTGTTTCAAAATCTAGTTGTTCCATCCCAGTGGTGACAACCTAAAACAAAATGCGAAATTCTTAGTCACCATGTGAAAAGGGGTCCGTTTTGTAAGCGTGCGTTTTGCAAAGGGATATTCCTAGGTAGGAAGCATCTGGCATCCCGGAAACCAGCATTCATTCACTGTCAGAGGAACCAGCTGTTTTGCCTGAGTCCTTCCAACATAAGCCCTGTGACACTTCACCAAAGGGACTCCTGCATGTGATGCTGCATTTCCAAGAAAAGAAAAATATTCAGGAGACATTCTCGTGTAATTGACTGGGGACAGAAAGCCTGAGAATGAAAAACAAAACACAAACAAAAAACCCTCCACTACTTGGGGGTAGGTTCCTATAAAAATCCTTTAACTACCCTGAATGTAGTTGGATTTTCCTCATTGTTAAGAAAGAATGCTGCGCTTTCCTGGGATTCCATTAAGTTATATCTTGACTCATCACTTCATTCTAATTTTCCCAAAGCCACATCCAAAAATAAACAAGAGAACGAAGGATGCATCTGCATAAGGAATGACATTGACTTAATCCTCAGGCTGTTCACTTTGTGCCTTTCCACACAGTCTTCCATCGTCAGGAGCTTTTGTTGTCTGCTCTGTCAGTATTTTGGAGATGTGGGAAGGATGCCAGGAGCCAGGGCCAGAGAGACAGCACCAGAATCTAGAGCTGTTGCCAGCAGGAACCCTGGTGGTCCGCGTTGGGAGGGTCCCACTGAAGCCAACTAAAGACCAGCCTGTGACTGCTCATAGCTCTAGGCACAGACCCCCGCCAACTTGCGCCTTGAACTCCCAGAAGGCTTGGAGCCCTTTGGGACATCAAGGACTGAATTCCATGTATGTCCTTAATTATGCCAATAGAACCTTTTGGTTATTACAATGACTGGGGCCAGGTGATGAGACACGCAGCATCTTGCAGTGAAGACAGAACTTGGCTCCAGTTCTATTTCTACCACTGCACTTCTGGGTGGCCTTGGGGAAATCACCTTTCCTTTCCCTGATTGTGTTTCCATGTGATTGTAACCAGGGAAATAATCATTGCCTTAGTTAAACAGATGAAGAATGATACAAGGTATTAAACAGCTAGATCAAGGTACTATGGAAAATGAAGGGGGAAAAGTTCAGTGTGAGCTGTGTTTATTTGGGGAAGGCTCCATGGAGGAGTTGGTAGGTATTGTGTCGGACGCTGCAGGTTCTAGGTTGGTTAAGAGGAGAACAGGGCCACAGATGAGAATGAGTGAAGGGAGAGGGTATGGAGGGTGGTTGAGGTGGTAAAAGAGGTATTCTTATGTTTACTGGTGAACAGAGGCAGCCTGGGAGCCACGTAAGTGGAGATGAACTGGTCTCTTTGTGGGTCACGTGGTAGTGAGGGGCAGCACATGGGTCAAACACACAGACGCTGGAGCTGGACTGACGGACTTCAAAGCCCAGGCTTCCCATTGCTTAACCTTCCTGTGCCTCAGTTCTCCCATCTGTAAAATGGGGATGATAACACCTACTTTAGGGGTTGTCAGGAGGATTCAATGAGCTAATCTATGGGAAGTACTTAGAAGACGGGCACTGAGCAAACCCTCTGCGAATGGTGATTTTTCTAATCACTAGGTAGTCAAAAACTGTTCAAGGAATGTATGTTCACCAGAGCAGGTGGACTTCTGTTGAGATGGTCTGCTCTCGATTTACGCCCTGGCTCCCTGCTAAGCCTGGAACCTGCTTCTGCCGCCGAGCTTGGATAGATCCTTGACCTCAGTATTACCTATTGCCAGCCGCTTCTTCTTGGGGAGTAGCTCTGACACCCTAGAGGAAGGAAATAGATGAGCCAAAAAAGGGTCCAAAAATGTTGTATCTTGGAACTAAAAGAATGGGGTTGCTCTCAACACAAATGAAAAAACTGTTTGTTGTTGTTGTTGTTGTTGTTGTTGTTACCAGCATTTACTGAGCATTTATGTACCAGAATTGTCGAGCCATTTGTGGAGTATTTAATTTAATCGTCACAATGACCACGGGTTGGCAAAACTTCCTCCATTTCACATTTAAGGAGATGAACTAAGGGAGGAGGGGAAAAGCTCTCCTAAGATCCTAGCTGGGAGTGGTGGAGCCTGGATTTGGTTGCGGGTGATCTTGCGACAGAGTTTTAGTGAGCGACAGCAGATTTTGCTTTAGGCATGTTCAATTGGAGGTTGTTCTGGAGAAGGCTGAGAAGGTCCCCAGTGCTCACGATGGGAAAAGAGGGGAGTCAGGCTCAGAGATGGGCAAATGAAAGAGGGGCGGGTGCTGGCCTCTGAAGGACCTTACAGAGCCCATCTCTCTGCAGCTGGCTGGTAGTCACTCCTCCCTGGTCTCTTGAGCTATGCTTCTGGCGCCGCTCCAGGAGAACCCCTTGACCCATGATTAGCTACAAGTGGCTGAATGAGGATCTGACATCTCTCTTGCTGGGCAACAGCAAACCAGTGCAGCATGAGGGCAATCAACAAGGATTCTTGGGGCCACCTGATTGCAAATCCCAAGCCTGCCACCTCCTAGCTGTGTGAACTTAGGCAAATTGCTCAACCTCTCTGTGCCTCAGTTTTCCTGTCTTCAGTGTGCAAATTACAGTACACCACTTCATAGCATTGTTATGAGGATTAAATGAATGCATTCACAAAGCGTTTAGGGAAATTCCTGGCATATGACAAGTGCCCTGTAAATGCAATGTTAGCATCCTCCTCATCATTATCATTACTCCTCCTCACCACCCCCTGCCCCGCCAGAGGTCTCAATAGCTGTGTTCTAAAGCAGGAAGGCTTGGCCTGTTGCATGATTTGGCGTTTACCCTCAGAAAGTATAAATGAGTCACAAGGCAAAATGGTGACCTAGACTTGTCATCCCTAGACCGTCAAGGCTGTCCAAGGAGGAGCCAGGTTCTGCCACAGAGATTTTCATGCCTGGAAGGCTGCAGGAGCAACTCTTGAGAGCAATTCGGGTGCAGAGTAGGACCTTCGTGGAGGGACAGTAGACGATGTTGTGTAGTTTCCGGGGAGAAGGAATCAATTCTTAAGAACAGCGTCATGACTTGTAAAACTGCGGCTCATCTTAGCACCAACATGGGGTCCTAGGCAGCTGCCGGGTGTGGTGTAAGGAAGGCACAGGACTAGGACAATACACCAGACGCTTGAGCTACATCAGTTGAGGGGCTGAGCAATCTGCCATTTCTAGAGGTTATGAACAAGATGGAATTCTTCCTTGATTAACAGCCCTGCTTGAATCCCATGGAATGTGGGAAGAGCAGATCCCATGAAGAGAGTTGAGAGCTTGTCCAAACAGCCATAGACATGCGTGGCACTGTGACAGAAAGCCTGGGACTGGGGAATCAGGAGGCTGGATGAAGTTCTTATTCCATCTTTCACAGCTGTGTGGTTTCAGATAAATCATTTAAATTTGCTGCATCTCTGTGATATCTAAAATGGGAATAAAAGTTTCTAGATAGTGATGATATTAATGTTCGTTGTTACAATCAAGAGATCAAACTGCGTGCGATGGTGCAGTGCCTGTAGTCTCAGTTACTGGGGAGGCTGAGGCAAGAGGATCACTTGAGCCCAGGACTGCAAGTCCAGCCTGGGCAGCATAGTGAGATCTCATCTCAAAAAAAAAAAAAAGAGAGAGAGAGAGAGATCAGGTATGTGAATGTGCCTTGAAGGCTGTATGCAAATTCAAATGCACATGGTCATTATCATCACTAAAGACTATAGACCATAAATCCTGAGGATGAGAACTCCCAGGTGGAAACAAAACAACCCAATTGTCTGTCAATGGATGAATGAAAAAGCCGAATGTGGAATATAATATAATTTAGCCATAAAAAGCGATGAAATAGTGATCCAGGCTACAACATGGTAACCCTTGAAACTTTATGCTAAGTGAAAGAAGTCAATCATTAAAAGACCACATACTATAATGATTCCATTCAGAGGAAATGCCCAGAATAGGCAAATCCATAAGGACTGCGTAGATTCGTGGTTGCCAGGGGTTGGGGGAATAAGGGGATATGCGAGTGACTGCTAATGGGTACAGGGTTTTGTTTTGGGGTGATGAAAATATTCTAAAGTTAGATTGTGGTGATGAGTTGCATGGCTGTGAATATACAAAAACCACTGAATTGTACAATTTAAGGGCCTGGATTATATTCTCCTGTGAATTATACTCGATAAAGCTGTTTTTTAAAATGAGAGCACCTGAGCCAGACTGCCTGGCTTCCAACCTCAAGCTTAGCTACCTACTAGCTAGCTGTACAATCCAGGGCAAATTACATAACCTCTCTGTGCTTCACGTTCCTCGTCTGTGAAAAGGTCATAAGATAGATACAATCCTTAGGCTTTTGAGATTAGAAAAGCAAACACATACAAAGCACTGTCAACAGTACCCGGCGTACACAACGCGCTCTGTAAGAGTAAGGAATTGACAAGGCTTACAGGAACTGAGGAGCAGCAGCCGCTTTTAAAGATAAGCTGGGTGTCTAGGGAGTGAGTGCACAGGGCAGGTAAGTCACAGAACCAGCAGCTGGGACCCAGGAACGTAAACCACATGCTGCAACGGGATGTGTGCTCCTTTCCTCCCAGAGGGCTCCCCCGGGGTGATGAGAATACCAGAAGCCTGGGCTCTGGCCTCCAGTGGTGGGTTCTGCAGGTCTGCTACAGGGCCCCAGTGTGCACACTTTTCAAAGCTCCCGTAGTGACTCTAATGATGAGCTGGGTTTAAGAACACCTAGTGGGAACCTGAGAAAAGCAACCAAGCCTAGGCCAAGCAGGCCTGAGTCCACTGGGTCCCACAAGGACCCCAGTGGCAGAGCTGATGATAGCAGCAGGAGGTTCCCAGGCCAGTTGAGGAAGGAGGTAGGGGCAGGGAATACTGAAGCATAGGCCGATCCAGACACCGGGACCCTAAAAACACCTTCAAAGGCCTCTATGGTTACCAGTACCAAGCATGCAAGAAACAGGCTTGTACCCACTTTCGGGAAGTGACAACTTTGGAAAAGATTCAAATGACACACTAGAAAACAGAGCAGCAGAGGCGTGCCTCCTGAATGTCAATGGTTGGGTCTGAATTATCCAAGAGGAAACATTCACATGGTAGGGCTGGACATTTAGACGTATATTTTTATTAAAGGGTATATAGCTTCCTTATTAAATAAATCTCCTCTTAGATCGTCTCTGAAACAATCAGACTTATAGGAAAGCAGAATCACTAGACACAAGTTCATCAGAGCATGGCTTTTAAGGAGATTAATATCCAAACAGTTCCACCTAAAGAGTTTAGATACTGTAGGCACACCTAACATCTGATGTCATGTGAGGGGTGGAGGCAATAAGAAGCAGCTTTCTGTTTGCAACACGTTGAGCATAATGCTTACGTGAACTGTGTGGAGTGAAGACGGTCTAAAGACTATATGGGCATCTTCGCACAGAAGCCCTGGGATGCCTCCAACAGGACTTCTGGGTCTTACAAGAGGGAAGATTAAACCAGAACGGAGGAATCCATCACCGATCTGGAATCCCATCCACCCTCATTTTCAGGATCACCTCTTTGCAGACAGCACCCACGTTGGTAAGTTGTTGCTTACCTCAAAGTCAGTGCCTGTCAGCCAATTCACCCTGAAGGCTTCCGTGAGGGGATTCGAGTTGATTATCAGGGGAAATCCTGGGATCACAGGTGACAGTGATGCTGCTAATTTCACCGAAAAGTTGTGCACCAAAGTCCCAGGTGGAGAATTCTCTGCGACGGTGCTTGTAGCAGGTAAGAGGATTAGGTGTTGCGCCTCTCCCCCTGTGGAGTAAAAAGGGTGCAGGATGACATGAACACAAAGCCTTTTGCTGGGAGCAGAGACTTAACAGCTTGGTTTGTGGCTTCATTTCGTGGCTCGGGGTGACGATGAGAGCTGGTCACTCCCCAGGAACAAACGCTCTTGCCAAGTGCTGGCAATGGATATGTGAGATCTCCTGGGAGCCAAGAAAACAACCACTTCCAAACAACCAAGAAATCTGCTTCTGTCACTCGGTAAATAAAGCTGCTGCTTTTCTCTTCTCTTCCTGCTTCCCTTTTCTTTTCTTCCAGCCTTTGGGAGGAGCAGCGAAGGAGAAACGTGACACCTTAGGAGATAGACATCCACCTAAAGGACCTCTCCTGATAACGTCATCTTCTCTCTTGCCAAGACCCTGTAGCTTACACGAGTTTGTTTTCCTTCTTTGTGTCAGTAATCTAGAGGTCACCTGAGAATTGAGTATGCATGTTCTCTAGAACACCAAAATCATGGTAAATCTCTCCACGTCCATTAGCAATCTCAAGGACAATTTGTGGTTATTACTAGACTGTGTAGGCATCATGCAGAGGCGTCATCAATACGTCTCGGTTGGTAGATTAACAGCCATTCCACAAAGGAGGAAACAAGAGGCTTGGGATGGCATGTGAATTGCCTTGGGCTGCCTTACAGGCAGGGAATTTTATACTTTAAGAGAAAACACATTTCTTCCAGGAAAGCCTTGGGACCATTCTAAGGTCTCCATGACAGTGCAAGACTTTACCAGTGCAGAGAAAAGGAACAAGCTGTGTTCTCTCATGCGTCTATAGTAATAGTTACTGTTGTGGGTTGAACAGTCCCACCCGGAACTGCAGAATGACCCTATTTGTTTTTGGTTTTGGTTTTTTGAGACAGAGTCTTGCTCTGTTGCGGAGGCTGGCACGATCTCGGCTCACTGCAACTTCTGCCTCCTGGGTTCAAGCGATTCTCATGCCTCAGCCTCCCAAGCAGCTGGAATTAGAGGCGCACACCACCACACCTGGCTAATTTTTGTATTTTTAATAGAGACAGGGTTTCATCATGGTGGCCACGCTGGTCTTGAACTCCTAGCCTCAAGTGATCCACTCACCTCAGCCTCCCAAAGTGCTGGGATTATAGGTGTGAGCCACCATGCCCAGCCAAGAATGACCTTATTTGAAAATAGAGTCTTCATGGGTGCCATGAGTTGAGAGGCGGTCATACTGGATGAGGGTGGGTCCTAAATCCAGTGGCCAGTGTCCCCATAAGAAAACAGGACACATACAGCAGACACCAGGACTCCAAGATGGCATCACTTGTACCAGTGAAGGACAAGAAACTTCTGGAAGTCAAACTAGGGGAGCTGCCAAGCTGGATTTTGATGCAAGACTTCAGCCCTCGTGGCATTACCAAAGTGTTTCGAAGAGGTTACTTCCAGTACTGCAGCAAGTACAGCAACATGAAGAAGGGGAGCCTCTCAGGGGTTACCATGGTGCTGGCAGGCTATGTGCTCTTCAGCTACTCCTCTTCCTACATGAAGCTCAAGCACGAGCGGCTATGCATGTACCACTGAGGAAGAGGACACGCTGCTCTCCCCCCACGATCTTGACCTTGAGCCCCTCCATAAGGAACACAGTCTCAATCGTTGTTGAATCCTTTCATATCTTAACAGATATAAAAGACTGGTAGTGAAATAAAAGACTGGTATCTGAAAAAAAGAAGTCAGGACATGCACAGAGGGGAAAAGGCCGTGATCTAATGGTGGCAGAGACGAGTGATGCCGCTACAAACCTGGGAATGGAAAGCAAACAGCAGAAGCTGGGAGGTGGGCATGGAGCAGACATTCCCTCAGAGCCCCAGCAGAAACCAACCCTGCTAACCCTTTGATTGCAGACTTCTAGTCTGCTGAGCTGTGACAGAATAAATCACCGTTGTTTTCAAGGCACCCAATTAGTGGCAGTTTGTTACGGCAGCCCAATGTTACAAGTAAGTGCAAAACGTAAAATCCTGTCTTTCATTTACTCCTCAAACACCTCTCCCAGACAGGTATTCATGTCATTTTCCAGATGGGGAAACTGAGCTGAAATCCACACAGCAAATAATAAATAACAGAGCCAAGATTTACACAGGTCCCTTTTCCCAGCCAGCTTTCCGATCTTGGCCACCATCAGACCCTGGGAACAGAACCCTGAACATGTAGGAGGCACAGGGGTAGGTAGGGACAGTAGAAAGCTCTGCCCCGCTGAGAGGCATAAATGTTCTAGAGACAGACAAGCCAGGATGTTTTCTTTCAGTTGGCAGGAGGTGGGGTGAGTGCAGAGGAGTAAATGGAAATGAAAAAATTGAAATATTAAGCGCATTCACTGATACAAGGTTTTATAAATCTAAAGTCATCTTGTTTAGTTTAGAGGCTGAAATGCATGATGCATAAGTTATTGTCACTCGCAGAATTATCAAGTTTTATGAACAAGGACTGTACAAGGACTCAGAAATATCAAAACAGCTGAAGTTTAGGTTGATACGAATATGAATAGATTTTTAAAAATCTATTAAAATTGACTTTAATATTATAGCATTCTCATGGTAAAAACCAGGAGCAAAAGAGTATGGTTGGAGTATTTAAAGACAAAGCTCTCAAAAATAGTTTTTCAAAATGAGCAAAATAATCTAAGGCTGTGATGGGTTGGGTATTTGGGGCATCATTCCCTCCCATTCTCCTTTCTCACAAGTGAAAGTCACTAGGGCACCTCCCTGAGCTGTTCGTGAGAGTGCTTCCTCACTGTTTAGCAAGACAAAGACATCCGTACAGGAAACGGAAGATTGGCAGTCTGTCTCATGGAACTCCCACCTTCTCACCCATATTCTTCCCTTGCCCCCTCCAGCCCTCCCCAGTGATTTGTGCCCCTCCAGGCAACAGACAAAGTTAGAACGTGCTATGTTTTTCTCAATGATAGCCTGGGGTAAGGTAGTGCCTGGCGCAAATGAATAGACTAAAATAAGTACCCACCTGCATTTACCAAGCACCTGCTCAGCGGGCCCAGTGCTAGCTCCTGGACTCCCCGATGCCCCTCACTCCCAACACAATCCTCCGACGGAGGTATTGCTGTCACCATTGCACACGTCTGAGATCATACACTACGGGAGTGGTCACGGAGGGCCCTGGCTCTTGGCATCTGGATCTCATAGCTCGCAGACTACACATACCTACTGCAGACAGTCGGTCACTCTATGCCTATCACATGAGCATGCACATAGGATGCAGCATAGTTATTCAGTGACCCTGGGGCACTGCAACAACATGGCTCTGGGGGCTAGGAGGAAATTGATCTTCAATCTGGATGTTAGATCCAGATGATGCAATCTGTAAGAGGCTGTTTGGGGAACAACACGAAGAATTGTGCTGAAGTGTGAGTATGAGCGTGGTGTGGGCTCAGGTAGGAGGGGCTTGCTAAGCTCCATGCAGGGCTCTCCACAGCCTCACCCCAAGTGAGGAGATCACTGTGGCTCCCAACCTTAGCGCAGCTCCTCTGGGGAGCTGGGGACTGTGGAGAAGCCACGCTCCTCAAATATTGCCTGCTGGTAGCTTCTGATTTTCTTTGCTGGGAATATATCCGTTGATTTTCTTGAATTCATCATAACTGATAATTCCTGGGTCTGAGAGACTAATTCCAGGAAAGACCATCCAATCCCAGGCATCTGACTCCAAGGACAGCTCCATGCTGTTTCCTAGGTCAATCCAGGAAAGCTTCGTGAGAGGGGTGGGGCTTGAGTTGGGCCTTGAAGGAAGCGTAGGAGTTAGACCACATGAAAGGAAAGAGGATGCTGTATGTTACTTCATTCACTCATTCATTCATTCATTCACTCACTCATACATTCATTTACTTGAGATGGAGTCTCACTCTGTCACCCAGGCTGGAGTGCAATGGTGCGATCTCGGCTCACTGCAACCTCCACCTCCCAGGTTCAAGCGATTCTCCTACCTCAGCCTCCCAAGTAGCTGGGATTACAGGCATGTGCCACCATCATGCCTGGCTAATTTTTTACTGTATGTTACTTTATTTGAGATTGCTATAGTGACGCCTGCTTCCAGCACGCTGAAGTGGTGCTGATGTGGTTGCCCCACTAGAATCCTCTGTAACACAGGTGTTGGTGTGTGAGGGTAATGAGCAGGTTCCCAGACTCACAAAAGACAGTGAGAGAGAAACAGTTTGCATCACAGCAGCCCTTCCAAAAATAAGATTTGACCTAAGGGAGTCTATCGTGTGTTTTAAATAAGAAATCTCAAGGATTTCTTGCAAACCTTTGTGATCTGTCTCTTTCACACTTCTAATAAAGTTCCAAATGATAGGGTTCAGTATAAGAAATTGGGTTCTTCCTAACCTTACTCTTCCCCAGTCACAATAAAAGGTACCTCAACTTAAATGATATGGCCCTAAAAGCCCATGTTTCTGGGGGAAATCTGAAATGTTTACTTCAGTGACACTCTGAACTACTCATGGCCCACTTCACATTCATAGGAGACCCTGCCCTCTGCTTAGCTGAAAAGTCCAAGATAGAAGAGGGCTCAATATTAGGAAACCCAGTTATTTATTTATCTTATTAGCAGATTGAAGAGGAAATTAAATGGTCATTTTCATAGATCTTGAAAAAGCATTTCATTTAAAAATCCATTTCTTTTTAGAAATTAATATTCTTATATTTTTATTTAGAAATAAATAATATTCTTATATTAATAAGAATAAAAGCCACCTCCTTAACATGTAAAGCATTTCTCTCCCACACCAAAAGTTAACATCATGCTTAATGGGCAACAAGACAGGAATTTATACTCTTGTCATTATTTTAAAATGATCAGAATGTCCAGGCCTGGCCGTTAGATAAGAAAACAATAGGAGCTATAGAAATAGGAAAGGAAGAATCTAAATGTTCATTCTTTTCAAACGTGGGAAATTCATGAGAATCACCTGAAAACCCATGCCAAATAATAAGACAATTTGTTAATAGATTTCCATACCTCATACAACCATCAGTTGAAAGGTGTAGGGAGGAAGAGATTCCATTTACAAATGCAAAAAAAGAAAAAGTAAAAGAACTAGAAATAACCATAATCAGAATGTGCAAAATCTATATGAAGGAATCCTCAAAATACTCTTAAGGAAAACAAATGAAGGCTCAAATTAAGTATCTAGAAACCTGTTCTTGGATTAGGAAGACTCAAGAGGATCAATAACACTCACTCACATTTACTAAGCATTTACTGTGTACTCAGACACTCTTCTAAGTGTTTCACCATATAACTCATCAAAGATGTAAATTATCCCCAAATTAATCTGCAAATTTAACATGATTAAATTCTATACATTATGCATATACTACCTATTCAGAAATAAAGTTTAATTTTTAAAGTGCAATTTTAATAATCCAGGCTGACATTCATAAGATCATCCGAGATTCTTGATACCCTTGAAGGAGGAAGAAGGAGTGAAAGGATGGTGAGGTTGAGTCTTTGGCTCCTCTGGCCAACGGTGTTTGCTTTGTCCAAGAGGAAGACAGCCCCTTAGTAACTCAGTTTCCTCACAGGATCGCTTGGCAACCTCAAATTGCCTGGCCAGAATCTCCACAAAGACTGACCTGACATGCACCCAAAGCTCTGCCATGAAAATTATTTTCCCAGCCTTAGATCTCAGGAGGACTACCAAATGCAGGCCAGTTAACCCAAGAGGGGAAGTGAAGTCTCTGCCAACATATGTGAGATTAGGCTCTCTAAGCATCTCTCTTCTCCAGGGCTCCTGCCCGGCCCCCCAGGGTTCCCTGGAGTCGCATCACCTCACTCATAATTGCAGCTGAGCCCTCAGTTGAACAAGCCTCCCAGGAGCAACTTCCTCTTTGGGGGACATTGTCATACAATGGTATTATGCAGACCAAGTAGGCAAGCCATTCCAAAGCAAAATTGAGTTCCCACCTGACATGGCACCCAGGAGAGCCAGGAGAATGATGGCTTCTTGCATCCTTGACGGTCACAACTGTGTGTACGTCCAGCACAGGAGCCACGACCTGAATCCCGTCTCACACCCAAAGTTTCTTTCAGATGCCACTCAGCTTCCCTCCAGGTTTCGTTGCCATGCAAGAAATCAAACAGAGGCTTTAGCAGTAGCCAAGGGAGACTCTAAACACCACAAGACTGTGTGTTCTTTGATTGCCTGCTTCTGTGACTGCATGGTACCCAAGAGATCAACTGGCCAGTCTTGGTCAGCTCAGAGTTCACCGTAAAAGTCCACACTCACTGAGCCTCTCAACCGAGAGCTCCAAAAGAGAAATCAAAAGAGAAAGCCGAGACCCAGGGATAACAGTAAGAGCCAGACGTGCGTGTGTAGTCCACCCCCAGTGTAGCCAGGCTTGTCATTCCCAGAAACAGGGGTGGAAGTGGGAGTTTTTCTGATGTCCTGAATCAATGAGCAGGACTCAGACTTGGGAATTAACTGGCACTCATTGTAAAGACAAGAGCCGAGAGCTGGGAGCAGACCTGTCCTCATGGGTGACTCGAGGTAGAAGACTCTGCCCTCTGACTCCACCCCTCACCACCGCCCCTCCAGCTGTTGAAAAAGGCTGTGAAGGAAGATTACTGGAGTTGTAAGGCTTCTGCCCAGTGGGGAGTGATGCAGGTGTTACTCTTCAGGATGCTTTTCTGCTCTACACAGGCCTGTGCCAGGGCACAAGATGTGGCATGTGAATAAATGCAGGCTGGGGTCTAGTCTCCACCGAGAAGGAGCAACAGCAGAGCAGAGAGAGGGTGGCCGAAGAGTGGCCTGTCGCCTCTCCATGGTGCAGTAAAAGCAGTAGTGGATGTAGTGGAAAGCAGCTGGGCTTGGACCATCTCTCCCGTTCCTGTGCCAGCTTGGGCAGAAGAGCCCAGCAGCCCAAGGCCGGGGGCAGGAATGCAGTGAAGAAGGTGGGGAGTTGGGGCAGAGCCTCCCAGTCTGGACGAGACCCCACAGGAGCTCTGAAAGCTACACAGATGCCCCACAGGTGAACCAGCTTTAGGCACCTGCTATGTGGAGGTCACCAACGAGGGATAGAGGGAGACAATGGAATGGAACCAAACTAGGGTCTGCTCGCCTGGTGCAATAAAACGAGATGTCCACACTGAGGTTTCTGCAGCAATAGAAAGGAAGGCATTTATTTGCAAGGGCTCCAAGCAGGAAGGACCAGGCAGCTAATGCTGAAATCCTGACCGACCTCCATGAGAGCTTTGGAAACGAATACACGGAGGTGACACATAGGTTTTGTCCCGAAGGAGCGGGATGTCCTGAAGTGGTGGTGGTGGGAAGGAAAATGTGGTTAACAGCCGGATTCAGATTTGCAGCTGGTTAAGGAAGAGAAGCTTTGTTTAGAATTTTGAGAAGAGTAGAAAAAAGTATTACCTGGCTGGGAATGTGACTCCCTCCATGCCCCTTGTCAGGCCTCCAAGTCCAACCTGGCCATTATAGCCTTGGTGACTTGCATGTACACTACCTGATGGCCTCCAGGAGCCAGAAAGTCTGAAGTAACCAGATAGCCACAAAGAGAAGCAAAAGGACTGGTTCCTGCCTCATCTAATGGCTCTCCCCCTGCAACATTCGACCATCGTTCCTGCTGAATCTTGGGAAATTTCCCCCTCGGCATTCGGTTTCTCAAGACCCCCACCCCTGAACTACATAATTTACTGCACCCTCCCCTCTACTTGTGACCCATAACCCCACCCTATGACCATACCTGTTGGTAGCAGATGGCCCCTACCCTTGTGACCTCCTCCTCCCTAAATTAGATGACCACCTTTAACTGACCATTTGCCCCAACCTATATAACCAGTCCCCATTCCTACACCCTCACCTAACTGCTTTCTTGGACTTGGCCGGCTTGCCCCCATGCGCAAAATAAAACGGCCTGGTTGCCCACACAAAGCCTGCCTGGTGGTCTCTGCTCCAGCGACGAGCCGACCCCTAAGGAAGAAATTTAGAACAAAAAATGGTGATCAGAATTCAGCCTTCGGTGCCTCTGTATCTGAGTCCAGGGGGGTTCTCGGTGGGAGGGCGCCTAGGTTTCTGAAGGACAACGCCAGGACATGTGTTAAGACGTTGTCTTTAGTTTCTACAGGGAACCAAACAACTCAGGGCTCTAACTTTCTTGGCTATTGTTCGAGGCTACTATCACCTGCCGGCATAAATTACTTACTTACTTCTCAGGCTGGCTGGGTGCCTGAAACTGCTCTTGAAGGAACTCCAAATTTTTCTTCATTTCCATGCTTGGGGGCACTCATCAGGTCCCCAGGAGAGGGTCCCTGCTCCATCTCAACAGCAGCAAGGGCAGCTACATGGCGCGCCCCCTCTCCTTTCCCCCCTCCTCTTCTGTCCACCCAAGGACAAGGTGGAGGAGCAGCTGGCAGCCATAGCACCCCACGCCCACGCCCAAATCTCAGTCTCAGCCCCAGCCGCCAGGCTCAGGCCTGGAGAGACTGAGTTTGAGATGGAAGCTTTAAACCACGGACGACTAGGCATGTGCCCAGAAAGCAAGACATTGAGGAACAAGAAAGAGAATTTTAACAGAGGCCAAGTGAAAACAGTGAATGTTCAAAAAAGGAAAAAATTAGAACAGTGCATAGAAGAAACCTGGAACCATCTCAGTTTAGATGTCACTGAACAGAGACACAGGGACAGGGACACTAAGGCTCAGAGAGTGAGGGGTTTGACCCGGGCCATGCCACCTGCCAGCGTCCCTTGTGTCCCCTCTGGCCCAAGCCCAAGATGCCAAGGCTGCCCTTTTCTTCCCCCACATCCAAACATTTGTCAAGCCCCTTCCAGATGCCAAGTGACTCCTGCCGCTCCCCTGCCCAGGTCTGTGGCTACTCCCCTGGCTTAAGGTCTTTGCATCTGGCCTGGGTTATGCCCCCCAGTGCATCCTACGGAAGCTTACCTTAATTTCCCCAAAGTGCAAGTTTGGTCATTTCCTTTCCTGTTCAAAAATAATGAACAATCTTTCCCTTAGGAAAAGTCGACTTTTCCTGTCTAAAGTGTGAAAGAAAGGTAGTAAGATTAGGAAAGTTGGTCCATAGGTCTCTGTCTGAAGCACATAGATGGTAACAAAAAAACAAAACAAAATGGAGTTTTGCTGAGTGACCTTAGACAATTTACCTAACCTTTCAGAATCTCAGTTCCACTCACTTATATAAATCAGGGAAAATAATTCCTGCTACACGGTATCATTGAGAGCAATACACAAGAGAAAGAAGTGAAAGAAACTAGCCCATACTAGGTATTTTAACTATATATATATATATATATATATATATATATATATATATATATATTTTTTTTTTTTTTTTTTTTTTTTTTTTTTTGAGACAGGATCTCACTCTCACTCTGTCTCTCAGGCTGGAGTGTGGTGGCGTGATCACAGCTCATTGCAGCCTCAATCTCCTGGGCTCAAGCAATCCGCCCACCTCAGCCTCTGGAGTAGCTGAGACCACAGGCGTGCACCACCATACCAGGTTAATTTTTATTTCTTTCTTTATTTTTTGTAGAGAGGAGGTCTCCTTATGTTGCCCAAACTGGTCTCAAACTTCTGGGCTCAAGTGATTCTCCTACCTTGGCCTCTCCAAGTGTTTATAGTACAGGCATGAGCCACAATATTTTTACTAACAGGACCCTGGCAAGGCCTGAAACATAGTAGGTGCTCAATATACATTGGCCAAATAGAAAGAGAAATAAAAAACAGTTGCCAAGCTACCAATTCTCACCTCTCAGTTTTTCCTGTCACGTGAGTTACTGTAAATAATCCATTTCATTATGTATAATTAAAGTTGAAGTGATGGCTCAGATTAAGTTATGGAAAACGTCAGAATAATTAAACTTTTGAATTAAAGAAACTCACATCTGTTTAATGTTCAGCCTGACTGCACAGCATCTTTCACGTTGCTCTGTTTTTACCGGGGTAGGCTGCTTCCCCTTCTTTCCCCTTCCTGGTTCTAGGGAGCAAAAGGGTCATCTTTTGGAATTTGTTGTGGGTGTTTTCTCCTATAATTACAGCTTCTGTTTCCAGCCCCGAGGTTGCTTCTGCCATTGCCACGGGCTGCTGCCCATCTGTCAATTCCCATCTTCCTCCAAAAGCTCGTGGTTCTAGTACCAGATACATAGCTGGGCCAGAATCGCACGAGGCTGGGTAGGACTCTGCCGCCCCTGGCTCTCTTGTCCCCTGACTTCCAGCATCTGAGCTGTCCTGGATCCACCAAGGTCTGAGCCAGGTGGGATGACTGGGGCCCTCAGGCAGGGTCGGAGTTTCTAGGGCAGGCCCCCCTCCAGCTTCCCATGAGGCTCGAGCCTTCTCCTCCATACTGTCTGGCTCAGCAGTGATTCAGGCCCTTCACATATTTCAGGGGACTTCCCTGAGAACTAGGTGCTGTAAGTGTCTACTTTGCTAGCAAAGGAGTCGTGTTCCAGACCTTTTTTGACTTGGAACGTGGAACCCAGTTACCCTTACATAATCTGTAACGTAGAGTCATGCACTGTATAACAACATTTCCTTCAACCATGAACTTCGTACACAATGGTGGTCCCATAAGATGATAATGGAGCTGAACCATTCCTATAGACTAGTAATGTTCTAGCTGTTGTAACATCATAGTGCAACACGTTACTCATGTGTTTGGGGAGATGCCGGTGAAAACAAACCGACTGCACTGGGAGTCATGCGAAAATCTAGCACATATGGTTATGTACAGTACATAATACTTATCATAATAAATGACTCTGTTACTGGTGTGTGTATTTACTAGTCATCTTAGAGTAAACTCCTTCTACTTATTACAAAAAAATAGGCCAGGCACGGTGGCTCACACCTATAATCCCAGCGGTTTGGGAGACCGAGGCGAGCAGACCGCCTGAGGTCAGGAGTTCAAGACCAGCCTGGCCAACATGGTGAAACCCCATCTCTACTCAAAGTACAAAAATTAGCCAGGCATGGTGGCAGGCGCCTATAATCCCAGGTACTCAGGAGGCTGAGGCAGGAGAAGCTTGAACCAGGAGGCAGAGGTTGCAGTGAGCTGAGATTGCGCCACTGCACTCCAGCCGGGCGACAAGAGCAA